AGCTTTGTCACTTTTTGAGTTTGTGTCACTTTTTTTAAAAAAAGTAAAAAAGTGACAATTTTTATAATAAAAGTGACATTGTATCACTTTTTCATTTTACACAGTATTTTTTACTTTCTAAAAACCTTTCATATGATTTTTCAAAACATTCCTAATTTTAAGGGTATTTTTGTAAGTATCCCATTTATATGTGCCTAAATATGTGTAGAGACCAATTCTCTTAGAGTTTTATTTCATGATGAGTCGAAATACTTATGGATATATATAGGGTTATGACCCCAACCTATATGTGATTCTCATTTTTTGTGTTATTCCATTAACACAAGAGTAACAAGAGAAAATATATCGAAGCAGGAGATCTAAAACCCACAATCAAGAACAAGAAATCAAGAATCAAGAACAAGCAAACAAAATCAAGAAGCTGTAATCAATAACACCCAATTCAAGATCCAGTAATAAAGAATGATTCTCAATGAATCAAGGTATGTTCCGCACTTTATAATTCTTCTGGTGATTTAAATGGAGGATCTTGACAATAAAATATTTAGGTTTACAAGTATAGACTCCATCAATCACAATTGTACCAACACCTTCAATTTTACTTTTGGCCAAATCCCCAAAAGTAATCAAACCACTTGCATGATTCTTATAGTTGGTTACAATGGAATCATTATGTGTCATGTGTCTAGAACAACTGCGTAAAAGTACCAAGAGTTGGATCCAATGGATTTATATGCTATATTGACAACATAGCAGTTAAGACTACTATTTCTTATCCAGACATGCCTTATTCTAGCATTAGGATTGTGTTTTAAAGTATCAGTAAGCAATTTAACTCTTTTTGTGACATGTTGTTTCTTGTGAAATAAACGGTGAAGTGAATTATGTCTATACTTATCGAAGAAATTGCATCTGATAGTATGCCGTGCTTTACCTTTCTAATTTAGAGAGTCATACTTTACTTGATTACCTAATCGAATGATTTGAGCAATGTTTTCAGAGTCAGTCAAAACCTGCTTGTGTGAGTCAATCACCGTCCTTGTTGTCTGAGGTTCTATCTGCTTGTTTCATTGTGACCTCAGAGGTAGGGACGTAGCCAAGATTTCAATCTTGGGGGTGGGGGGAAATACGCTCCGCCCCGAATTTTTGAATTTTTTTAATTAAGAAGATTGAAAACGACGATTTTGAGTACCAAAATAGGCAAGTTAGATTGACTGACCAAAAAAATAATCAGTCTGTCGATACAAAAATAATATGTCCATCTATGTGTCTAACGCTATACAAATTGA